CTATCTATCTATCTATCTATTGTTGTTGTTGTTGTTAGTTGCGAAGTCATGTTTAACCCATTGCGATCCCATGGACAACGTTCCTCCAGGCCTTCCTGTCCTCTACCATCCTCTGGAGTCCATTTAAGCTCACACCAACTGCTTCAGTGACTCCATCCAGCCACCTCATTCTCTGTCGTCCCCTTCTTCTTTTGTCTTCAATCTTCCCCAGCATTAGGCTCTTCTCCAGTGATTCCTTTCTTATCATTAGGCCGAAGTATTTGAGTTTCATCTTCAGGATCTGGTCTTCTAAAGAGCAGTCAGGGTTGATCTCCTCTAGGACTGACCGATTTGATCATCGTGCAGTCCAAGGAGCTCACAGGAGACTTCTCCAGCACCATAGTTCAAAAGCCTCAATTCTTTGGCACTCAGCCTTTCTTATGGTCCAACTTTCACAGCCATACATTGCAATTGAAAGTGCATCAGTAAGTGAGTTTAAACATGCTTGGGATAAAAATAATAATTAAAAAAATAAATTATTTAAAAATAAAACAAAAAAATCAATAACCTCAAAGTGCAACTTGATGGGCCATTAGATTTTTTTTCTGCCATCAGTTTTTTATGTTTCCATATTTGTGGAGAAAATGGGAGAGAGGGACTGGGTGATTGCTATAAAAAAAGCTATCCTAAGGAGGCTGAAGCAGTGATTTACAATTCCCTTTTTCTTCATAGCCGCAGAGATTTGTGCTTGGAACGTGGAGGGGATGTCACATTCAAGTGAGTATTTTACCCTTTCTTCCTCTTCTTAAGCTCATTTATTTGTTCTGTGCATATACAATCCAAAGCTTCAACTAACATGTCTGACAGAGCTCACATATAATTAACTTTGAATTCTTAAGGTTGAATTATTAAAAGGGAAAATTTAGCAATAGGGTGAAGTTATACATATTTACCAGTTTGGTGTAATTTGGCATTAAAAATAATGTATGCAAAGAAGTTGCCAGCTAATAAAAAAAAATAAGGCCTGACCTGTCTTTATGAAATGTAATATCCTGCAAATGAAACTTCTCACAGTATGGAAATGAAAATGATGCCAGAAAAAGGTGTGGTTTAAAGCATTAAAATCTGACAACTCTTTATACAGATGTTTGATGTCTAAACACCTATACCCTAGGTTTTAAAATCATTAGGGAGAAAACCTGAAAAAGAACTTTTTAAAAATGCAGCAGTGCCCCCCTCCATCTGCTCTTCTACTTTTCATTCTAATTAATTGTATTCTAATTAACTTATACTTCTCTATTTTTTTTCCTATCTTCTTTGCTCCTTATTCTGAATCATCAGGACTTATAATTAATTAATCCAAAATAAAATGTGTCACCATGTGAATAACTTTTAGAAGTGACAAGAGGGAGACAGAAGTCACACTGCTAGCTCAAAGAGTGTGTTGAGGGACTAAAAAAAGACATGTCGTATGTTAGGTCTAAATATAAGAACTGGCGGCTTCTTTTTCTTTTCCATGGGTCCCTGTTTAGAGGCTGGACTGAAAAATTACCAATCTTCGTCTGCTACTGATGTTGCTGCTGTTAAAAATCCAAATATTCAATTCCCCTTTGCTATTCTTACCTGTCACCTACTAGCTTTCTGGATAATATAATGTCTGTATAGACAAAGAAATCCCCAAGGAGTGCTAAAGGAAAGAGCCATTTCATTTCTGTTTGTGCAGCCCCAAAATCCAGAATTTATATAAACTCAGCAAGACATCTGTTCAGGTGTTCATGCCAGCTACTTTGGTAGAATGCAAAAGAGTCCTTTGATCCATGTGGGACTTGATTCTTCTGCCAAATTCAAGAGGGAGTTGGGCCTCCTGCTTCTATATTTTTGCTCTAAGGGAAAATTAATTTTGCTGCTCTTGTCTTATTATATGTAAGTCCTACACAGAAGAGGCCAAAAGTGGGGTAAGGGAGGAACAGCAAAATACAGTAACTTTTTTGCTCTCTGTCAAAGCAACCACAGAAATTCAGCAGCAAGCCACTTCAATACATATAAACAAGCCTGGCTCGTTTCTCTTTGAATGTGTTTAGAAGGGGGATTTCTAAACAGAGCCCCCTCGCTTGTTCATGTTGGAACTTGGATCCACAGAATGTCTGCCTCAATTTTTCAGAGGCAGTCTCGTGCAAAGAAAGAGCATCTGACTAACATATGATTGATGTCCCTGCCAAAAATCTGCAGCAATTCATTGATGCATCTTTTGGGGCCACACAAATTGGTTTAAAATGGGTAATCTGTGGATTGCCCACCCCTTAAATTAAGTGAGTTTATGGGGGTTTTCTTTGAAGTTCCTCCAATTGCAAGAGAAAGAACCAATCCCGAGAATGTCTTGCTGCAGTAGTGTCTCCATGTCCTGTTTTCCCAGGTTTCAAGGGGAATGTTTATTGGATTGAGAATTTGTTCTTACAATAAAACTGTCGTTTGAAAGTTTGAGGTCCTTATAGCAACTGTTTCTTCAGCTATGCTAAACTGGCTGTGCTCACACTACAAATAAACCCAAACCTAATTTATTTATTTATGACTTAGCGTGGTTCGTGAACCCAGATTTGGGGGTTTAAAGCCATGGTTAAGCAAATCAAGTTATTGCCTGAACACTGCCAATCAACAGGGTGGGGGGAGTCAAAGGCACAGTCCGACAGAAAGAGATGGGGAAATACAAATACGTAGCGCATAAGGCACGCTCTTCATTTTTTGTTTATCTCGCCTTATCTCGCTTTATATTAACTGCCCATGTTCCCCATGACTCTCCATTCTGGCACAAGAGAAATATTCGTCACTAGAAAGAGAGATAAGAAGAAGTAAACAATGGAGGAGAAAATAACAGATCAGCGCTCTCTCGCTCTCGCTCTCGCTCTCGCTCTCTCTGCGTGTGCCTGTGCCTGTGCGTGTGTGTGTGTGTAGGCAGAGAAAGAAAAGGATTCTAGTCTTCAGCACCTACTTTAATTCTTGCACAGCAGCAGCCCTGATGATCGGAATGATAACTCCAGCCCTTCATAGTCCGTAGATTCTGGCTGCGCTGACACAGCAGGCTTAACTAGGTTTCTAGAAAGCGAACTGCAGGATGCATTGGCTTTGCATTCAAATCTTAATTTAGCATGATAAACCAACCTGGTTATTTTCATTGGTTTGTGAATCAAGGTATTATGTGTTCTAAAAATGATTAACTTGGTAACCAAGCATGTAGGAATGCTGTTTCTGTGACTTCAGTTTTTCTCTTCCTTAGTCTCTCCCTTCATATTTTCCCTCATATTAGCCCAACCTATCTGGCACTACTTCCAAATCTTTTGATCCATAATACCCACACACTTAGAAACAAAAAGACAAAACTAAAGTTTGTTCTTGGGGTTTTTGTTGCTTTGACATTTTGATTATTTGGTTACATTTCTCCCCCCCCCCCTGTGATTAGACTGTTTATGCTCTTTTACATAACTTGGAGTCAGTCCCTAAATTTGTAGGTCCAAAATTGATTATTGCAAGCAATTTATAGTAATTTGGCCTCCAATTCTAACTTTCCACCATTTTCCCTTTTTTCCTGTCCTCTTGCCAGATGTCCTATCATGCTGGTGGTGGGAGACCAGGCTCCACATGAAGATGCTGTGGTAAGTGATGAAGACTTCTCTTTTTTAAAAACTTCACAAAATGGTAGGTAGATTCTGACTATTATCTGTCTTTTGTTTTTAACTTACCTAAAAGCAAGAATGTTTTCTTTCTTACCTCGTGTATATTTTAGATTCAAGCTATCTACCATTCTTCTCTTTCCAGGTGGAGTGCAATTCCAAACTGGATCCCACCCAGACTTCTTTCCTCAAGGTAGGCTATGCATTTCAGACAGGGGTAGGATTCAGTCGGTTCGGGCGAACCAGATGCTAATTTTACATCTGGTTTGACGAACTGGTAGTTGAAAGGATTGGCTGGCCCCACCCGCCCCACCCTTCCCTGGAATCTCCATTATTTTGGATGCCAGGTAAGTGCAGGGCCCACATGGAGGTTCTGGGAAGGCAAAAACGGGCCTTCTGGATGTCTGGAAAAGGGCTTATTTCCAGCCTCCGGGGAGCCTCTGAAGCCCAGGGGAAGGCCATTTTGTCCTCCTGGAGGCACAAGGAAAGCCTCCGGAGCCTGGGGAGAGTGAAAAACAGGCCTCCCGGAAGTTTTATAATTCCAGATATGGGCCCTTTTCCAGCCTCCGGAAGGCCTCTGGAGACTGGGAGAGGCTGTTTTCACCCTCCTGGAGGCTCTAGGAAAGCCTCCGAAGCCTGGGGAGGGCGAAAAGCCCCCACCACCATAGTGCAGGAGGCTAAGAAGGCCTCACCCACCCAGCAACCAGGCAGAGAAACGGTTGCTAAAATATTTGAATCCCACTGCTGATTTCAGATACAACTAAATCCCAACTTGCAAAACTCTTTCCAGGATTATGTTGGGCTGCAGAGTTCCTATCCCTGCAAGTTATGTAGGGTGATAAAACTGGTGGAAAGGAGTTAAAGTTAGGTCCATTTTCAGTTACCATTTTGCCTGTGGTGCTACTAACATTGATCATGCCATCATAGATTATTTTTCTATATTTTTTTGAAAAGCAGAAAGTAGCAAATTTCCAACTATTTTTGAGTTGAAAAAAAATGGGCATTCCCCATTTGACTGTGGCATCCAAGATCATATGTTATTATCCTACATGGGAGCTGCAGACCAAATCAACAATCTCATGTAAATATATCCGATCACACATTTTCCCAACATGGAACAGCTCCCAGACCAGATTGTCATGGAAAGAGTTATCCTTTTTTAGGCAAGTGTCTTATTTAGGTTATTCTTTCTTATATTGCAGATGGCTGATTCAGGAGGACAACCACAGCTGACACAAGTAAAATATACTAATAACCCGATACACAGATTCATTAACAATTAATTTTGCATTTCATAATATTTTTAAAAGGCAGTGTTCTTTTCTGATTGTATCATCCTTCTATTTGAGTATTATTTAAAAATGTATGGGTTAAAAAAATTATTAAGTTATAGAGTATTATAAAATACAAAAGTAAATAGAAGAGCAGTGAGAGGGGAGGGGAAAGGGAGAAGAGAAGTGAGGAAAGATGGGGAAATAAAAAGAAGCATTGACTTACGATTCTGTTACAGTAAAATAAGGCATTCACATCAAATCACAGCTTTTTGCTTTTCAATAATAGTATGAAGAAGTTATTTCTATTAAGATCTACCAATCTAATCTGTAAAACCCAAAGTCAGAATTTCATTCTTTTCCACATCAAGCACGAAGTTCAGAAGTGGTGTCCTTGTAGAAATAAAACTACTTCGGTTCTTTTCTTTAATCAAAGTGGTCAGTTTTGCCATTTCAGCCAACTCCATCAAAACTTAAGTTTTAAGGTTTTTGCATTTGTTGTATGCTTACATATGATTGCAGACTTGTAATATATTCAGTCAATCCTGTTCTCCATACACCATTCGAGGTCTGTACACAGAAAATTGAATTAAAGTGTTATTGTTATCAATGCAGAAACATTGAATTATAATCTAGATTGGTTTATAGGGCTAGAGCATACAGTGCAGTGGGCTGAAATATAGCTGACTAGTTCTTACCTTAGTTTGCAATTCAATAGAGCTTATAATATCTTTTCTGAGAAACTGGAAGAAATCGTAGGTAATTGCTAAGATGTTGTACATACACTCACCAAATAAAATCTCATTAAACAAGGTGTTCGTTTTTGGTTAGGAAAATAACATCTCTTCTGCTCTACTCCACCCAATGTAGTCATGCTAACATATGTCTGCAGAAGGAAAAGAACCTTGTTGAATGGGAGAAGTAGACAAGAAACTTGTAGGCATTTCTGAAAAAGTATTCCATACCAGTTTGAAAACATCAGGCATTCCCACATAAACAACATTGGAGTTGTGAGCTGATTGACTTCCAATGAAGTTCTTCAATGTAGTTGAAACCACTATGAATCTAGTTGGTGTATTTCTCCACTAAGGGGACACTTGCTTTGTGCCCTTTTTTGGATCTTGAATTTCAGATCTTTTATGAGAAAAGTGATCTGGATACTTTTGCTGCTATTTCTTAGAAATCCATTTTTAAAAAAGCAGAAGAGAAATCCCGAATTTTGACAGTTCCTTCTAATCTTCAGCACTAGATTAGCCCTCCTCTAAAGCTCCAGGATCCTAGATCCTGTTTTTATTTTTCTGTTCTTTTGTGAACAGTGAGTTTTGTAGCTGTAGAACCTGCATGGCATAAGTTTCACTTCTCATTCTTGGCATTTCAAATCAGTAAAAGTAAAAAAAAAATAATCACAGACTACCTCCCAGCATTTTTGAGAGTTTGGGGCGTGGAGTAGAATTATTGCAATGGATCATTTCCCATAGTGTGAGGAAATCAGAATTTGTTTTAATGAATTTCATAAAAAGATATTTGAATGGGTTCCATGTCAGATGTTTTTCTAACCTTTGGTGTCCCCTCCCCACAAATATAGTCGATGAGCAGTAATTTGGAAGCAAATAATTTAACCTTTAGGATTTTGTGCCCCACCCTTTCTTTCCATATATGCATTTTTTAATGTTTTTCTCTGCTCTTTTTCTGTCTTTCAGCCTGGGAAACTGACAGAGGCATTTAAATACTTTGTGCAAGGAATGGGTTATAGTAAGTATTGGATCTGAGAACCTCTGTCCCATTGCGCACCCCACCCCCAAAGTTCATACATTATTGGGTTGCAAAACCTGTGTTTCATCTAGCCAAGAGCAGAGACATTCCTGACAAGGTCATTTTGTACCCTACTGTAGATTGCACTCACAAAGTACACCAAGTCGTAGGTTTTTTTAGATGTAGTTTAATAAATAAACCAGAGTTATATTAGCTTGCGTAACATGTGAGGTTATAAATAATGTTGGCTGAGATTACAAACTAAACTAGAAAAAAAAGAACATTGTCACTTGGGATACTATATGGACACGCCATAATTGATTCCTGGGACTGCCTATTTCTTGGCTGGTTCTTGCACCCAAAATGATGCTTCTAGATAATTGGGATTGCTTATAAGTTCTCCTTTTCTTTGAATCCCTCTTTCCTCCCCACTTGTACATCCACCTTCTCTCCATAGCTATTTAAAGCTCAGTTCCACAACCTATCAGCTCAGCCCTTCAACAACAACCATTGTGGAACATTCATTCCAAGTACAAGTTCTCGATCAGTTTAGCCTAAGAATATCATTTCCTATTTCTCCTCAGTCCCACATGTATTGGACAAGAAATTGAGCCAGGGGTCAGGTACCTTATGTGGTATTTCTCCCTCATCTCCCATAATTCTCTCCTCCAACATGTCTGCTCACCTTTCCCCTGGTTATTTCACTCCCCAACACACAACCTCCCCTTTCCACTAAAGAACACCGAGTTGTTTGCTGTGGTAGTAGAAAAACAGAAGCAGGCGTTGTTTTGTTTGGATTTCTGTTGTGTGCCCAAACGGGGATGATCTTTGGTACGTTATTACAGAAGGATTGCCAGCAGTCCTGCACTGTGGTTTGATTTCAAAATTAGACCTCTCACTTGATTAACCTTTTTATGCCAGTGTACTAATTGCCTACAAATGATCTGTTGCACTCCATACCTTTAAGAGGTTCTTGTTACATATTGGGGAAGGCAGGGGCTGATGGTATGCAACTTCATTGTTTGGCACCAAAGCCAGAGAGCCAAGTTGAAGATAAGTGCCAACTGTGAAGAAGAGAATGTGTAGGCTGTCAATAGAAAACATTTGAAAATAACAAGGTGTATATGCTTTCTATCCTAGAAGATTAGAAATTTTCTCCTTGTTTTTTTCTCTTGCACCAAACAGGCTTTTCTTGAGAGGTGCTTCCCTTTCTAGGTTCTAAGCAACCCTCACTTCCCCTTGCTTGTTCTCTAAATCTTAGAGAGGATCCAATATGCAAGGAATTCACTTGGGTGAATTTTAGACCAGGGGTCCTCAACCTCCGGGCCACAGCCCATTACTGGGTTGTGGCCTTTTACTGGACCATAGTCTGTTCAGAACCAGGCAACACAAGTGGCAAGTGACTGCACACGCTTGCGTGTGAACCTCCATTTGTGCAACCAGTGGGCTAGAGCTGCATGCAATTATGTGCTTGCTTGCCACTCACACAGAACCATTTCCTTCTCTCCCCTCACTGGTCCATGCTGGAAAGGTTTAGGACCACTGTTTTAGACTATTCCCTGATTGTTGCTGGTATCTTCCTTGATATGCTCCTTTCTTTTCACACAAGTGCCACTTGCTCCATCATTGGTTGAATTCAAAATGAGCTCTTGATAATTGCCTTTTATAATATGTAAGAGTTTTATCTAACTTTGCTCATTTTTTCCTTTCTCCACAGTGGCCTCATCCTGCATGACGCGCCTTTCTCGCTCCCGCACCGCCTCTCTGTCCAGCGCCACCTCGGGGGACGGGAATCGCTCCCGGTCTCGCACTCTGTCCCAGAGCAGCGAGGCAGGAGCTCCTCAGCCACCTGCCCCCACCATGGAGGTGTCCTGCTGAGCTCCGAGCCAGGGGATGAGACCGCCTCCCACCTCTGAACAGGACTCCTTCTGCTATCCCACAATGCACTCCGGCCACTGGGCCAGGTGACGATCTCCCCTAACGGTACTAAAAGTCCAAGGAGGCCCAGATGGGATGCAACTTTACTCTTTTAAAAAAAAACATTAACTCCCCCAACCTTTAAATCCAGCACATCATATCCACCTTCCTTACCAACCTTGCCTTCCTTTCTCCCGTAACTTAAAGCTAGTGTTGTCAGCCTTTGGTATCTATAGTGATCCTTAGTACCTAGGGAGGTATGGATGGAAGACTACACGTTTTCTAAATTATCAGATAATCAGTATCTCCTCTGATGTTTCCCTTTGACCTCCAATTATCTTGCACATGTAGATTCCTTGATATAGGAGATCTGGATTATCATTGGGCTTTGTTTTTCCCCCCTGTATAATCATAACTAACCCTTGTTCCTCCCCCTAAATCTTGAGCGATATATTCTTGGAGTAGCCGGATGGCATCTCATTGCCTTGCAAGCTCTCTCTTGTCCCCTCTGGAGTGTACATAGGAGGAAAATAAAAATAAAAAGCAGGATTTCACAAGTGAGACGCACAAGCCCCAGTAAGGACTTGACTTGCTACTGTCATGCTAACCTAGTGCTCCCAAACAGGAGTTGCTTTTCCTCCACCCAACCCATTTCTACCCTTGTACTTGTCTGGCTTGGTCTCATCTCTTCTGATTCCATCCATCTAAGTGGTCTTTGAGGTTCTGGTTCCTTCCAGAGGCTTAGACGTGTTTTTGTTTTCATTCACCTTTTAAAATTAAACTAGATTCTTCATTCCCCTCCCGTCCTGTAAGATCTCTCTTGGCTTTTATTTTTATAGTTTTCCCTCCTCCTGTGCATATATTCTTCCCTGGTCAAAGGCTACATTTCCGCTTCTTTGTCTCCCTTCCCTTCCACTTTCATAGATGGTAGCTGCTTTGTGGTGTGCATGCACAGTTCCTGCTAAGACAGCAACTGTTTTCTGCAATTGGGGCATTGGGAGGCTGGGCAAGATTGAAATGGGGGACACTGGAGAGGGTGGTATTGTTCCTTTTGGGAAATGCTGGGGGCAGCGGGAAGCTTGAGACAGATTGCACTGTTACAGCTGCGCCAGGCACAAATGACAATAGCCAATGTGCCTGTGGTTTCACATAAGGAGATGAAAGGAGACTTCGACTGTCATTGGCTGTGGGTTTTTTTTCTTTTTCTTTGCACCAAGCACTGATTTAGTGGGTTCTGGCTGTTGGTTTTGAGCAGGGCTCTTGTAGTGCCATGGAGGAGGAACTGCTGTAATTGGATTCTGACTGTATCAGTTCTTTGAATGTTACCAGCTGTATTAAACACCTAAATGCTTATATGATGTTAGCCATGTTGATCTCACCAAATAAGGGATGCATGAAGTTTTTTATTTTTTATTTTTAAACA